GAGAGAGAGAGAGAGAGAGAGAGAGAGAGAGAGAGAGAGAGAGAGAGAGAGAGAGAGAGAGAGAGAGACAAGAGAGCGAGAGAAAAAATAGAGATAGAGATAGATAGAAAAAGAGAGAGAGAAAGATGAAAATAATGCTGCTCAGCAGAAACATCAACGAGAGTGCAGCGAGAGTGCAGCGCGAGTGATGTCTTCCCACATCATCGCTAATCGAATTAGGCAGCAAACCTTTCACTCACACCGGCACTCTCGCCACGAACGCGCGCTTGTTTATGCGCTCGCTCGCCGCCATTCTCCGCAAAAGCCACGTAATAGAATCTCGTGTCGCACACATCTGTTACTGGATTTCTCCGCTTCGTTATTTTCTGCGCGGGTGAAGATTCTAGAAGGCCGTCGCCATTACAAAATCGAACGACGACATTGCCGGGAGATGCAGGACAGGGTGGAGACGAAGCCAGGGGGCGCTGACTCAGAATCGTACTCACGTCTTTCGGAATGGTGACCTGTGTGCTGTTGCCTCCGCCCTCGGTGTTCATCGATCCCTGGTCAAACATCTGTCCTTGGAAGCCACCGAGCTGAAAGATAAGCTAACATTAATGTGCGGACCGCCGTGTGAGTGACAATCCGCCAATCACGACAATGATCACCAACTGTTTATTCACCATCATCAACCACTATTTTGATACTATTGATCACTACATTGACGACCATATCAACTGCCATTAATTGTGGTCACTAACGATGACTGATGACAAATATATTGATCCTCATGTTAATCACCACAGTGATCACTAATTATCACTATATTGATTACCATATAGATCACTTCGATTTGATGATTATCGACCAATACAATGAACACTACAAATGATTATCAATTGTGCCATTTCTGATCAAATGCGTCCTGGTAAGTAGACACGTGACAGAGACGCAAACCCACTCACCTGGCTGGACTGTCCCATGCCGCCTCCCATTCCTCCGCCCATGCCTCCGCCCATGCCACCGCCCATGCCACCCCCCATGCCGCCGCTCATTCCGCCTCCTCTGCCTCCGCCCATGCCTCCACCACGGCCACCGCCGTATCCGCTGCCGTTCATCGAACCCCTGTTGAGAGCAACAGCGACGCGTTAGCAGAAACAGGCTGTGTTCATACACAACGGACGGCTGTCACGACTATGCTAGGCACCGTTAGAGGGAAAATCCCCAGTTGTCCAGCTTAAGATTCTTATTTGTGAAGATCTTTATTCGTACGATTGGGGACATGTATTTGTGCGTGTGCATGGATTAAGCCGACTGCTCGTTCTATGGCAATGCACATTGTGACAGTGGCAGGAATTCGCCACGTAGCGTGGTGCCCTGCACTGACGCATACAGGTGGGGTGAAGGCGGTGGATCATCAGGGGTACAGGCCTCTTTCCAAGCGTTGATACCGAAAAACCGAGTGGAAAAATGCAAAATATTCATTTACGAGCATTTCAAACCCCCTCTATTTGACCTAGTTCCCCAAATTTCCTCCCATTCGAGCCTAGAAATTGCTGTATGAAGCACAAAAACAAGTGGCTCACCGCCGCTACGGGGGAGCTTCCGACACTACCCCACATCCCCCTTGCTGGATGCTTACAATCCATCCCTAGACGTGCCCACAGTGCTTCACCCTCCCTCGCTCGCAGCAGCCACCCACCCGAATCCTCCGCCGGCGCCGGTGCCGCGGCCTCCTCTGCCTCCGTATCCTCCCATGCCGCCGCGTCCACGGTCGATGAAGCCACCGCGCGGCCCGCCGCGGCCACGATCCCCGCCGAGCCCTCCCCTGCTGAAGCCCATGCCTCCCCCGCGACCGCCTCCGCCGCCGCCGCCGCCACCCCTGCAACAAGAGGGAGAGAGAGAGAGGAGACGTCAGCACACACAACAGAAAGCGAGACGAGTGGTTTAGCAGTCCGTCAAGCAGACGTATCGGCGTCGAAATGTTTTACAAGCATGCGATTAGACAGACTGCCGCTTAACCTGACTGCAAATTAAACATTTAAATTTGTTTAAAACTACGTTTAAATGCGTCAGGCATCAGCAGCTCTCACGAATAGCTTGCGAGGGCAGATGAGCTGCAGCAGCAGCAGCATAGCCTGGTCTGCAGGCAGGGGAATAATGCATGTGCGAGAGCTCGCTCGCAGCTATGCAACGAACACCACAGACACGGTAGACCACACCCACCTTCCGCCACGCCCCCTGGCGCCACTCCTGAGCCCCTCCTCGGACGTGTAGCCACCATACTCGTGGGCGTAGTACTCGTCGAAATTGTCCGGGTTGTAAGGCGAGCTGGGGCCTTTGGGCGGTGCCTGGAAAATAACGCGACGACGTATTTACAGCAACGAAAAACTGAACCGAGGGTTTCCACCAGCAGTTCCACGCCACTAAAAATGTTCATTACACACAATTAAGCACTAAATATCCCTTGTCATGGATGCCATCTCTCAGAACCTTGCCAACCTCTACTAAACAGTCGCATCAAACAACACCAAAACCCTTACAAATCCGGCGATCGCGTCACGCCGCACGGGCGTCCGCTCTCCACGATCCACCCTCCTCCGGGGTATGCCCTGCCCTCCCTACCTCCAGACGCACACGATAAGCACCTCCCCACCAGTCACCTACCTGCTGCAACAGCTCGTGGATCTGCTTGATGCAGTCGACGATGACTTTGGGCTTGCCCAGCATCTGTACGACTCGGTCGGTGGACGCGGGACACACCTGGCTGTAGACCTTGATGTTCGCTCCCGTGCTCTGCGTGGCAGTGAGGGTAGATTTATGAGGGGATGTACGTTTATGATCATATAGTTATATCATATTTATATGTATCTATTATAAAATGGATGATAGTACCTAACGTTAGTGCGTCATATTTTCTCCGAAAGTAGGAAGACTATTCGGTAAGCCCACACCCTCACAAGTGAACTGGTCCAATAAAGCGCAAACCGTCATTTTAGTCAACACGAGTCAGTTGAGTCAATTAAAGTCAACACAAAACACACCGTTGCTTCATTTTCCCTCACAAACAATGAAATTGATCATGATTGATCATCATTTTGATAAACAAAAATGAAATGACGAAGGCGAAATCACATTTGAATATATCTACTCGACGATTTCATGGGGTGAGGCACAGAGACACGCACGCACGCACACTAACGCATGCGCTCACGCACACTAACGCACGCACGCACGCACACTAACGCATGCGCTCACGCACACAGCATGCCTGCATCTAATATAGTCTCTAATCTAAGTTCGAAAATAGAATCTCGGCGCGCACGCCGTGACGGAATCTGAACACGTCACGACACGCTATCTCTCTCTCTCTCTCTCTAACACTCCGGGAACCCGTACAAGCGGGCCGTCGCTCGCCCCGCTAAAAGCACAGCGCCATTAACACGCGCTCACACGTGCAGGAATCCGGGTGACAACGGCCCCGTCTCAAGACGAAAAAATGCCAGAGAAGACCGCAAAGTGACCGTCTAACGACGACGCCGAGCGCTTAGCCACCGCCGCAAAACAACGCCTCCGTCGGCATTACGCGCCGAGAGAGCAGGCCAGCAGAGGGCGCTGCCACTCGTGCTTCATCTCCGTGTGCACTGTAATTGTACGTAGCGCCTAAAATGCTCTCTAAATAGCAGTGGGTGTCGGAAAATCTTCGGTAGCTGTCTGGTGTTCACGCTCCTATGTGCTTTATTGCAAATAGAGATTCTCGTTTTCAAAAAAACAAGCACATGCACTGCTTATCCAGCTGACTATTGGGAAGCACCCATAATAGAGGGAGATGGAGAGAACGAGGGCGAGAGAGTGAGCAGGAGCGCAGGAGGAAGGAAGGGAGAAAGAAGGGGGAGTGAGGGAGAAGAGAAAGACAACCTACTACGAGCAGTCTCCAGCAATCTGTCCGACTGACGTATAGATAGAGAACGGTAATCAGTCGCCTGGCTGACAACACGTAAGCGGATCAGACACACTACCCATTATCACTGCGACGTGTCCCCCCCCCACCCGACACACACACTGCAAGGTTACCCGAGCGTCGGCTCAGCTCGTTTTTTACGCGACGTCAACGATTTGTTGAGCCAGTCGACTCTCATTACCAACGATCGCGCAGACAATGCGACAGATAACTGCTCTGTCTTCTCACCATTTGTCGCCTCGTCGGATATTTACATCGCGAGAGGCAAGTGAGAAGGGCAGAGGAAGACGAGACAAAGAGCAGTCGCAGCCTTTGTTCACCCTCTCGTCGTTGTCGATCTCGCGACAATGCCCGCAGAAAGATTACATGTGCAGAGGCAGGACAAAAGCATCCCCCCCGATTATCTTTCACGCAGCAGAGTGCGAGAGCGGAGCGCACGCAGATGCGGAATCAAATGTCTGATCCAGGGAATTACTGGGTGGGGGGAACACTGGAGTAAACAACTAGGTAATCGACGACACGAGGCGCATCCGCGTTATGCGCGTGCGTGCGCCCGCATTTGCTTTTACGTGCCTCTGCCGTTCGTCGAGCCACGCGGTAACCAACCACTACAGCGACCACCACTTCCCCCGCTCATTATGCACGATTTTCGCATTCGTGCGCATACCTCATTAAATTTCTCATTTCCTGCGTGCGTATTTAGAAGCTAATACACGGGAAAGGTCAAAGCTAGTTACGCGGCCGCACGCGAGCTTTCGCCGCGAACAATGGGCCGAAAAACTACGGAGAGACGGGAGCGCCAAATAGACTAGTCAGATTGTTAGCTAGTCTAATACATTAGCTAACCAGTCCATTCAGTTAGGTAGCCAGTCTAACCAGTTGGCTAGCTAATATAGTCAGTTAACTGGCTAGTCTAATCAGTTGGCCAGCTAATGTAGTCAGTTAGCTGGCTAGTCTAATCAGTTGGCCAGCTAATGTAGTCAGTTAGCTGGCTAGTCTAATCAGTTGGCCTTGGCCAGCTAGATATTAGTCAGTTAGTGGCTAGTCTAATCCCCGTTGCGCCCAGCTATATATAGTCAGTTAGCTGGCTCTTACTCCCAGCTAACGCGATCATCCAAGTACGTATGCCACGAGAGCGAGAGGTGGCACCCTATTACTACGTGATCCACAGATAAACTGCGGGTTTCACCTCATGGCCAGTACACCTGCCACCAACTCCCCTGTATGTGGCGAAGGGAAAACCTTGCACATCCGAACGTGTGACCAGCAATTACTGAAAGCCTTCCCATCTGTTCGTTTAGAAGGCGCGGTTGTTTTCTCGGAACAGGATCATACCTTCAAATGCGTGACTACCACCTTGCAACACTATTAGATCCAACGTTTGCATCGAGCGCCCCCCCCGAGCCACCACGGCCCCGCCCTGGACAACGCCCCTGGTGACTTCACCTCGTTGCTCAGCTCGCTTGATCTTGTAGCCGGCGCGCCGATTGAATCCCGCCTGCCTGGCTTTGTGTACGACAGCGGAGGTCAGCCGTCAAAGTCCGGAGTCCTTGTACTGGCTGGTACTCAAGTGTCGAGATCGCACCATTAATCACCTGAGAAAAAGGGAGAGTAAGATGGAGTGGATGAGAGAGGGAGAAGGGGAAGAAGGGGAGAGATAGATAGACAGAGCAAAGGAGACGGGAAGAGGGAGAAGAAAAGGATGAGGATGAGGGAGAGAAGGGGGAAGAAGGGGAGAGATAGATAGATAGAGAGAGGGAGACGGAGTAGGAGAAGAAGAGGATGCAGGGAGATGGAGAGGAGAGGGAAGAAGAATAGAAGAGAGGAGGGTAGAGACACATGGTATAGGGAGGGGAGAAAGAAGGCAAAGATAAGTTAAGTGAAAAGTACAGAGCGGCTTAAAGAGACACGTAGCATCAGAAAATGAAGAACAGCGAGTGTCTCTGAGGCTTCCACACAAGACTAACAACTTCGGAGAATGACCAATAACATCCCCCCGGCTGGGCGGCCGGGCACCCCCCACTGCACTAGACCTTCCCTGAAAAAAAACTGTCTGAGAACAACATGCCTGCAGCACCATGGTCATCTCGTGTCGACATGATGAACGGCAACGGTTCAAGTAAGCAGATAATTCAGACTGCTTAGCTTGGGTGGGTGATGTTGCAGTGAGCTGGTAATGTCATGACTATGAGTCCGCCGATTCCAGGATATCCGAGGGTGGGATGGGGTTAGTGAGCAGTGAGAGGCTGGTAATATCAGACAGCAGTGGAGGTGGATGGGGGTTGGTGGATGCAGTGAGCTGGTACATGTCAGACTATGAAGTGGGGTGGATCGGGTTGGGTGGGATCAGTGAGCTGGTAATCCCCGTCGCTATGTGGGGGTGGGATAGAGGTTTGGTGATGCGGGTGAGCTGGTAATGTCATTCTACTGAACGCTGGGGGTTGGGGTGGGGTTGGTGTGCAGTGAGCTCGGTACATCAGAACATAAGAATGTGGGGGTGCGAGGATGGGTTGGTGGAGCAGTGACTGGTAATGTCAGACTATGAAGTGGGGTGGGACTGGGTTGGTGAGCAGTGAGCTGGTAGATGTGCAGACTATCAACGTGAGGGTGGGATGGGGGTGGGATGGGGGTTGTGAGGGCAGTGTGAGCTGGTAATGTTCAGAGCTATGAAGCTTAACGTGGGGTGGGTTGGGGGTTTTTGGTGAGCAGTGATGCTGTAATGTCCAGACTAATGAAGTGGGTGGGGTGGGGGTTGGTGGAGCAAGTGAGCTGGTAAAGTCAGACTATGAAGAGAGGGTTGTGAGCCGTGAGCTGGTAATTGGTCAGCCTATGAAGTGGGGTGTGATGGGGGTTCTGGTGGAGCAGGAGGGGTAATGCATACCTAGAAGTGGGGTGGGGTGGGGTTGTGGGTGAGCGGTTGAGCACGCGATGCTACCATCTCGAGCATCGGATGAGTGTCGCAGCATCACCCGTCGCAGGCGTATCCAGATCTCGCTCCCACGTCAGAATGCTGCAATGCACCACAACAATGCAAACATTAGCAAGAAA